AGTATAAGAAAAGATTGTGACTACTTTGCTGAGAGATCCAGAAGTCAACGGAAATATTGTAACATGCATGGTAATGAGGCCACTTATTACTGTTATTTAGAATACTGGTTATCCCATAAGAACACGGCAACCCTGCTTAAAAAGTTCTATTAAGTCTCTCTCAAGCCAGCAGAAGTAGTTTCCAGGTTTCTGAAAGGTTCCCTCAACCCCACAGTGAAATGTCTTTTCCTCTAGAAACAGCGTAATGTTAAATGTGATATCCAAAGATTTTCAGAATATATGCTTTTGGATTTTATTTTATCCAGAAGGATAAAACAAAGCCTTTTGTCTCGTCCCTCTTCTGTGTCGCAACCACAAGGTTAAACAGGCTGGACATGAGAGGTTTAGTAAATACAAGGAAGTAAATGGAAGAAATGGAGACAGTTGTGGACTGCTATTACACTTACATGTCCTGTCTGTCCCTGTGGAATTCACAATCCATGGTAAAAAGAGATGCACTTTCAGATCATGATTTCAGACCATAAAACATCTGACCTGTTTTAGGTGGCTATGTTAAAATGAGCAGAGCTGAGCCCCAGGAGCACCTCCTTCACTCCAGAGACTGTAAAAGGAGCACAGCTGTCTACATTCAGGTAGACGAATTCTGATGTTAAATGTCTAGTTCTCGTTTTCTCATCAGTTTTGTTCTTACATTATCACACACAGTGGTGCCAAGCACGTACTAAACGCTGCTCATTGGTTTGGTTTCAAGTCTGCAATATTTGGAATTTGATTTGCAATTGAATGAATCATACAGGTTCAACGTTTTACTGTATTTATATCGCTGTTAACTTTGTCACTGAAGAGCTTCATCCTGCAAGCACGAAACAGTCATATAAGTCATCAGCGACAAGATTGTGGATTTGTTTTATCAGTGAATTGGAGAAGCCATTTAAGGCTTTTAAAAGAGTTATTCTAGTTTATGTGAACAGATCTGTGCATTTTAGAGTTTTATCCATTACACCCCAGTAACCATAAAACCCATTATCGATTCTACCACATGCACTGCTTAAAGCAGGATACTTTCCGGATTTGGAGGAGAATGTTCTTGCTTATACGCTAGCACTCACCGGACTGTCTGGATTAATCCAGATCATCATTACCTGTAGGCGATGTAGCCTGTAGGCTGACAGCCTGAAGTGAAGGTTTAGCAATCCTCATTATGTCCTTTTATACAGATGTGGAGGATCCTGCAAGAAAAGCACCTCATCCCAGCCCTGGACACCAGGAGGAATCCTGGAGCTCAGCAGCCAGAAAAATCACCATGAGCATCTAAAGTTGGGTATTCATTTTTAGCAGCCACAAATGGCCCCTGGGAAAATGAGACAGCCCCCTCCAGTCATTGAGCTACATGGGTCTATAACAACCACATACACAAGAGATAAACATACACATCATATAGAATAATAAAGTAAATACAATTCCAGCAGAAATTGAATCAACTAAATTTTCTGAAAACAGGTACTAGGGGCACAAAATTATTTTTTTCCACAATTTGGGAAAATTGTACTCATCCTGTTGAAAAAAAAAAAAAGCCAAAAGTAAACCCAAAAGCTGCCTGCCACC